ACATAGTCCTGTTAGGTGAAGACGCTGACAAGATGCAGAGTCTTCTGAACACTTTGAGTGGGAATTTGAGAATGTTTGGGATGCGATTTTCACCACCCAAATGCAAATTTTTGCTCCAGGACTGGTCTTCAGCGGTACCGCGGTTAACAATAGAGAGTGAAGTGGTTGAGTGTGTTGACCACTTCACTTACCTGGGAAGTAGGATCAACCCTGGTGGGTTAGTTGCCGATGAGATTTCTGCACGGATACAAAAGGCTCGATTGGCTTTTGCCAATTTGCGCCACCTATGGCGCCGCCGTGATATTCGTTTGTCTATTAAGGGTCGCGTGTACTGCACAGCAGTCCGCTCTGTTCTACTGTATGGCTGTGAAACATGGCCATTGAAAGTGGAAGATACAAAAAGGGTTCAGGTATTTGACCACCGTTGCCTTCGTAGTATAGGACGTATTCCGTGGTGTCACCATGTGAGTAATGCAGAAGTTAGGTGTAGAGTTTTAGGGAGAAGAGGTAAGTCAGTCGACGAGGTTGTGAACCTTCATCGACTGAGATGGTTGGGACACGTACTACGTATGCCTAGTCACCGATTGCCTCGTCACACAATGTTGGCTGAGGTGGGTTCAGGCTGGAAAAAGGCCCGAGGTGGCCAGACTAAAACATGGCACCAATGTATGAAGTCTCTGACTGTTGGTTTAAGCCATGTAGGACGATGCAGACTAGGTGGTTGGGGTCCACGGGACAAGAGGAACCAGTGGTTGGAGACCCTAGGTGATATGGCTCAGAACCGAAGTCAGTGGCGCAGATGTATACACACATTATCCTCATCTTAACAACGCTATACCGAATCTCACTATTTTGTCACTCCTCTTTCCTTTCTTCTCGTACTTTATATTTCTTTTGACTGCATTCACTTATCTTCATCCTTCACCTCACTACCTTTTTACTTGATGTGCTGATATGAGGTGTGGCAACTCGGACCGTTACGCAGTAATGCCTGGTCCTATATTGATAATGATGATGAATGATGACACATTCCACCACTCCACTCCCTATCATTAAACTACGAGTACTTTCACCAAACCAGTCCTGGAGCATCATCTCACATTTCACAGGTGCCAGCGAAACCCATGACAAAATACTCAGATTTTCGCTCAACGCGTTCACAACACCTTGCACTGCATCAGCGTACTCACCCAGCAGAACAATATCGTCTGCACACTACAACTCAACCACACGCCTGCACTCCACGGAGTGGATCGATCCCTCTGAAGTCAGGCGTACTTAAAATTATGATTATTAATTAGTACGTCTATAGCGAAATTAGACATTAACGGTGACAATAGGCATCCCAGCTTGACACCACTAGTTATCGTCAGTCCACATGAAGACTCCCCATAAGCCCTTACTACACGCCTGTGTGAGTTCCAATAGACAGCCTTGATTAGCACTATACAATACTTGCTCGGTAGTACTCCCATCACAGTCAGACACTGTCACAACACCTCACGATCGACAGAGTCAAATGTCACCTTCAGGTCTACAAATATGGCAAGTATCGGCCACTCACCGGTAAGTATGTCTGTCTTTCAGAACTTGTCGGAGGTTAAAAATATGACCGATGCACCCTCGTACAGCTCTGCATGAAACCTAACTAATTTCATCGAGTTTTCTGTTCTCCAGTTCTAGTTAAATGGCGTTGGATTACTATGAACACTAGGATCTCAGATACAACATTAGTCAAATAATTCCCCTATGGTAGGCTGTCACAGGAAAACTCCTCTCTCTTCCAATAGACTAGGATGAACAATAAGCTAAACCAGTCTATCGGGACTACCTCTGATTCCCATACACTACCTACTACTACCTTTATCACTTTAGTTAGAAATTCCCTACCTTATTCCTTGGAAACTTCGGGTGGCAAACTGTCAGCTCCGACTGCTATAAATCGTTGCCATGAACAAGTTGAACTGTGCTACAAACTGTTCTGTCCTTGAAAATTATCAACGTCTCATCCTTCTCCGCGATCGTTTCACTACTAACCATCGTCCTCTTCTTGCCAGTATCCTAGATAAGCCTAAATAGTTACCGGCTGTTACCCGACGCTGATGTTTTCGCCATCTCACCCTACTCACCACTCCTCGCCATCACTGAGAACGCTCTTCGCATATCTACATTTCAGCTCCTTTCGCTCTTCATCATGGGGTTAGAGCAAGTCAGCTGGAATCAGTCGTCTAGCATCAATCAGTTCGGATGATGTTGCAGAAATCCAATGACGTCTGCTGACCTTCAGCTGGATGCTACCAACTCTTTTTGCCGCTGTTCCTATACTACACTTAATATCACACCACGTTTACTCAGCATGACCACTCCTGTAAACATCAAATAAATACTTAGTTAACTTCTCCCTAAATACCTACTTGGCATCCTCATCTTCCAATCGAGAATAGACGGGCGTTACTTTCGCGATTGTTGGAAACAAAATCGCAACAGATGAGCACCATTGAGGTTCCATAAGTACCTTCAAGATGCCTTTCCCCATCATCACCTCAGCTCAGCTTCCCTACCTCAGTGTTAAAGTCACCTGCAAATATGACTACATCTCCACGTTTCGTTTTCTGCAGCACAGTTAACAGCTTTTTATAGAACTAATTCTTTGCATCATCCCAACTGTAGTCGGTGGGCGCGTCGCGTAGGCAAAGCTTAAGAATATGCCACGCTCAGCCTCACGATCCTTCATAATTCTTACAGATCTGTTAACTCGAACGCCACATACACAACTATTGACTAGTATCCAGTCGAGAAGCCCACTTTCTCCCGTACAGCTCAATGTCACGTCTACTCCAGCGAGTCCATGAGAGTTAGCAACTGAGTATCCGGATACTCATAAGGTGGATTATCAAAACTCACTACCATGGCCATGGGAGATATCAATTCAATCACCACACTCCAGCCCTATATACGTGTCTCAGAGACACACACAGAACACATCCATGGCTCAACATTGTAGAGTTCTGGTGAGTGACGTTTGCTGTCCGATTGGGCATCGAGTTCGGACGTTGAAAGCTCTAACATGAAGTCAGTGGTCGGGTTTTAGGAGACTAGGAATGAGGTTTCAATGGCTTCGACTGTTCACAATAGCCACAGAACGAGAGGTTGGCAAAGGTGTAAGTGGCTTTGTGTTGGTTTCCAGGGATGAAAGCAAAAGGTGAGAAGGATTGTTTATGTCCTATGGATTGGATTTTGTGTACTACTGGGAGCGTGTGGGTAGTTGACACTTCTCGGTTGCCCACACTGTGGAGGACTATTTCTTCCTTAGGTACCTGAAAGAGGAGAAGAATTGTGTGACCGCATAGCCAATGGGACATCTGTTTGAGGCCTGTCACACACAGCCTTTTACGGATTGTTGTTTTCAGATTTGGTTGTTCTAACGGCAGACAGAGATAACCCATATCCCCGCCAACGGAAGACTGTGGCGGCAAGGAGGAGTGTGTTATTTTGGGGCCACTTTTTGTAACCTCAACCCTCTTCCCATTGGGAAGGGAGCATCAGAATGGTACTACTGGCCATCCAAGGGAAACTCCTTACTGCTATCACACTCTCATCCAACCAACAGTACGACTTCGTCCTCACACCCCAATCATAGTGTTGCAATTTAACCTACAACGGTAATTGCTTTTCGTCTAACCACTATCCAACCTACCTTTATAGCGTAGTGGGTCCTCGAGAGAACAAGCGTTTCGGCCAGCATAGCTTGTTGTGTCATTTTGATTGTATGCCCAACCACCACGTCAAGGTGGTAGTAGCTATCGACTGGTATAAAATGTTCAGGAATAACACGGAATATAGCTGATTTGAATGTAGGTGTGACACAATATTCCATTTTCCATTGTCACAAAAACAATTTCCGCTGAAAACTTTGCTTTATATCTATTTCAGTGGGAATTATCATCTCATAAATTGCTTATTCGTTGATTAATTTGTCTGCTCTAACGTGCCAATCTGTAATCACAGTTACAGATAAACATCACTTGGAGCAATGAAAAATAAATAAGGTTATGAGAAAAAACGGAAATAAACAAAGAGTGGTGTCTATAATTTGAAAATGATAAGGTGCAGCTATATTATCATCACAAGTTTTGGACGAAGTTACGGAAGGTCATCAAGCCATCCAGTTACTGATATTTCAGAGATCCTAATTGGTCAGCCTACACGATTCAGGCCATGATAAAAGGGTTATAGGAAAACTGTTTAGAAATACACGAAATACTGAAGTTTTACCGACAAAAGCCACTGTCATTCTGCGTTAGATCCTTGATGAACAAGAAACCTTAATGATTTGAAACTTTACTCTCAGAAACTATCTACAATAAAGACTGGTTGTATGAGGAGTATAAACTTGTGTAAACACAAAGGCTTGTTCTGATAAATCTGTAACCCAAAATACTAGGTAACACAAAAAAATTAATATTCGATGGACTAGAGATGGTCATACTAACTTAGGAATATAATTTATAACACTTCAGCATTTGAACTGATAAGTATTACATGTATCAGTGAAAATAACAAGGCGAATGAAAGTACCTCCGATGGATGCATTCCAAATAACGAGAAACCTGAAGTGGCTGACACAAGCTAGGAGTGTTCTCATCGGTGGCATAAATAAACTAGGTTATACAAACAAGACTGTACCGTCAATATTGCAGGAAATTCAATGGAATTATTTCAAATAACAGGAAAAATAAATTCCTCTGAATAATTATTGTTAAACTCAGTTATACCTCACAGCCAGCACTTTCATTAACTTCATAGCTCTGAATGACCCTGATATAATGGTCGCAAATAAGATCCTCATCTAAGTAGCGGTGATTTACGTAAATGACCAAACCAGTTGGGACAAATATTTCAGTAGTTTTCTACAAGCATTTGTTTCTGCCAACACTAACAGCAGGATTATTGAAACACAACCACTTTTAAAAAATAACAACACCATTAATAAAACACACCTTGGATGGGACTAGATCAACTAAAGTCAACAGACGATTGCGCGATATACTTGTCTTTCGATGATGATCGATTAACTGGTTGATGGAGTCAAATTTTGATAACCAGAAAAAATACTTCCCAGCTTCATCTTGAAAGCACTTTGAAATGGAGCACTTCACAGCCCTGCCTTAAAAATGACAAAATAAACGAGAAGAAAACACATGGGATCATAATAAACACAGACAGCGATAAAGAAATTCAGAGATAAATTCACTCGCCTAAAAAAGTACTAAAGGAAAGTCAATTTCTAATCAATAGATCAGAAAACGTTTTGTCTACAGTACCACAACCATGGTTATATCATAAGTAGAAGGGAACAAACAATGAAGAAATGAATCAATAAATTGTTGAAAATTCCTCAGATGAAATGAAACTAACCTAGCTAAAAATAGTCATGTAGTTCCTTTTTTTCTCCTGTGAAATTTCAATCCATTATAATTTTCCTAAATTAAGGTGAAAAAAATTTCGACATCCAACAAGATTTCCGCCATAAAAGTTGTTAAAAGTAGTATTATGTTATGAGCCAGTGGGTCACGCGTTCAAGCCCCGTTTCACCTACCAAGGTTTGAGCAGGCACTACTTGTCACACGAGAGGTGTGGCTCATTGCTTACTGCATTAATGTGCACAAGGTTGCTGAGTGCGTGTTCTAGGATGTAGTTGAGATAGACTGAGCTATTAGTATGTCGCCATCTCAGAAATAAGATTTTAGGATAGTACCATATTAAATAAGCTGTGATATTTTCTGTTGATTGTTTACAAAATATATTTTCTCAACATCTTCAGGACATTTCACATTATAAAAAGAAACCATATTGCCGAAAACTTGATTTAGGCTAATTGATCGATGGAAAAAATGCAACATATAAAACAATCTGCCTATTCAGCTTGTAAGACGTAAAAACAAAATAAAAGAATTTCTATAGGAATATAAGATATTGAAATGAACTAGAGGAGGAACATAAGATGAAGGAATAAGTGTATGCACGATGGTAATAATAACAATAATGATAACGTTTAAAACTTGAAGCAAGATAATGGTCTATGCCAGACAGTATCGAACTGCAATCGTGTTTCATTGTTTTGTCGACTACTGATCTGTAATAACTCGTGGACCAAAACTAGAAATATGCGCTTTATTCACATGATTAATATCAATAGACAATGGTTACATAGATCGATAACGTCTCGGTGTGACACAATGAGATCCTTTCTACCCTACAACTGACACAACCTAACATTGCACGCTGAAATAGTTAGTACTAAAATATATCTATTACAGCTTCATGTTAACTGACACTCGGTACAAAGAAGAGACAAACAAATGTATTACATAAAATACCATAAGATTATGAAGACGTTAAAAAGTAAAAAACGAAAGGATCATAAACATATAAGAAACAGTAACATAAGAAGTTTTCACTACCTTTTTTGTATTAATTTTCGAAAACAGCAGATATGAAACAGTTGCAATAACATGCGCGCTGGTAATAATGATCCAACACAATCTTATTTAACTGAATGGTGTTATTTTATGGCACTACTCTGAGAGTGGCAATAAGTTAACAGAAGCTGACCTGGTACAACAACTTGAAAGTTATAAAGGATTATTCGATAGTTGATTACTTCTTCAAATACCTAGTTGTTACAAAGTAGTTGGCAAAATGGACAGACAGCATCAACAAAGAACCTCGCACAGAAATACATCGGCCCAAGTTGCCACACTTTACAGTAGTATACAAAAAACTGGTAGGTAGGAAAAGAGTGACATCAAAGCAAACAAAAGTGTGTGGAGAATGAACAGTTTGAAGATAAAGGTTAGTGCAAATATTCAAGCTTTAGAAAACACCAAAATGTGAATACATCTGTGCCGCTGTTACCGATTTCCGACCACGTCACCAAAAATTCTCAACCACTGATTACTGTTCATCTGGGGACCCCAGCCAGTCTACGTCTCCCCATATGACTCAGATCAACAGTCAGGGACTTCATCGACTGGTGTCGAATCTCATTCTCGTCACCCTTATATCTGATCCAACTTCCTCTAGCATAGCACATCGAGGTGAGTGGTAGATCCGCGTGCACAGTACATGTAACAATATTATCATTATTCTCATATAATGGATTTAACATGAGAGATACCAGTTTACAGACATTATCAAGCTGATAATTCTTGACAGTATACAAAATGATATTTCGTATTAAATAATCACATATCGAGTCGTTGATGCATATAATCACATCAAAACTTGCTGCAACTCATGAGACGGATATGAATTCATCCCCATCACATAGATAGGTTTCACTATTAGGACCAAAAGCGCACTATTTTAGAAGTTTGCGTTATAACCAGCCGACATTGTTAGCCTGTATGCATAGTTTTTTATTTGGTAATATAACCGTCTACTTATTAGAAAGTTCTTCAGTTTTTAGCTTTTCTAACCACAAAGGACTCATGTAAACGCTCTGGAGTATCAGTAAGTATCCACAGCTATATAACCAAGGTGAATGTACAAATTAATGCATTTGCAGTTCACCATGTTACATTTAAAGGTAATATGGATTAACACCATTCAGAATACTAGTTGTAGTGCATGAAAATAGACGTTGAAAGAGTAAGCGTCCAAAAGTCAGTAGTTATACACGGACTTCAGGCAGCAGCATCACTCGAGAAGTGTATATAATGTATAGTGACCTACATATGGTAAGATCACTTGGTACAGAGTACTACAAAACATGTAGTGTAGGGCTACGGCACGTAAGTGGCCTTTCAAACCAGTAGGTAAATTGGTTTCCAGTTAAATCATTTGTTCAGAATATCTCTGATACTATAAATGTTGGGGAAATTTAGACGGCTCGTCGCTGGAAGAATCCTGACCAGTAGGTGGGTTAACCATGAAGATGTTCCAGGAACCATCAAAGACTGGGAGCAGTTCAACAATTCTTGGCGTCACAAAGGAGGTATTATTTCCGCCAAGTAATTCAGCATCAAGTATCCTCATTGAGCTACTGCGGCAAACCATCTCAGTCTATGAAGGTTCACAATCTCATCATTCGACTTGCTACACTTACCTAGTACCCTACAAATGAAATCAACATACGAAATTAAAACCCTGTAACCGTTTCATGGCTTCTACATTCAACAACAATGTCTCACATCCGAATAACAAAACAGAATGGAACACAGTGCAGTATATCAACAATCGGCGAAAAAGATAACGCAAAGTTGATTGGCTGACCGGAAAGTGCATATTACCTTGCACACATATGTGAAGCACGCAATGACTCACACCTATTGTGTTAGGCCTAATGACAATACCTGGCTGCCCAAATGTCGGTAGATAGGCGGGGAGATGGAAACAACGATCTAATTATTATTATTATTATTATTAGTCCCTTGGGTTCCGAGTGGAACATAGGGCTTCAGTAGCACGCCTCCAGTGACCTCTGTTCTCTGAGATCTTTTGAACCTGGTTCCACGACAGCCCAGAAGCTCTCATTTCCTCCTCGCATGACCTCCTCCATGTCACCCTCGGACGTCCAACTCGTCGCTTCCCATAGGGATTCCACTCGAGGGCCTGACGCGTGATGTCCTCAGTCGGCCTTCTCAGTGCATGCCCAATCCATCTCCACTTCTTCCTGCATATTTGTTGCGTGATAGGTTCTTGGTTGCTTCGTTCCCAGAGTTCCTTGTTGCTTATTTTTTCTGGCCATCTGATCTTCAGCAACGAGCGTAAGCAGTTGTTGATGAATGTCTGTAGTTTATTGGAAATACCTTTCGTGGCGCGCCAAGTCTCTGAGCCATACAGAAGTACTGACTTGACGTTGGCGTTGAAAATCCGTATCTTGTTCCACATGCTGAGTGCAGAAGATCTCCACACTGATTTCAGGCTAATGAACGCCCGTCTTGCTTTTCCGATTCTGACTTTGACGTCCTCGTCCGTCCCGCCTGTAGTTGAAACAGTGCTTCCTAGATAAGTGAAGGAGGTTACTTCCTTCAAGTTTCTCCCGTTGACGGTGATTGGAGTTTGTTGTTGTTGTTGATGGTGGTGGTGCGGTATCTTCATCACTTCTGTCTTCTCTATATTCACCTGAAGTCCCGTCTTCGCTGCCTCTTCTATCAACTTGCTAGTTTTTGCCTGCAGATCTTCAAGTTTATGTGACATTAGGCACAAGTCATCGGCGAAATCCAAGTCTTCTAGGTTCTTTTCCGTCGTCCAGTGTATCCCCCTCTTCTCGCTGCCTACTGTTTGCTGCATGATCCAGTCCACCACAATCAGGAATATCATGGGTGATAATGGGCAACCTTGTTTCACTCCTGTCTTCACTTCACTGGCATCACTGAGCTTCCCATTGTGAATTACTTGGCATGTGGTGTCTTCATATAGTTGTTGAATGAGGCGGATAAAGGTTTGCGGTACTCCGTAGTATTGAAGCAGTTTCCAAATTACTTCTCGGTCGACGCTGTCAAAGGCCTTCTCAAAGTCGATGAAGTTGAGGTATAGAGCTGATTGCCATTCTACGCTCTGTTCTATGATGATACGAAGCGTTGCAATTTGGTCAGCACATGATTTGTACTTCCTGAAGCCTGCCTGTTCCGGTCGCAGTTTTGAATCCAGTGCGTCTTTAAGCCTCTCCAGGATGATGCGGCTTAATATTTTACTTGGGGTGGACAGGAGAGTGATTCCGCGCCAGTTCTTGCAAGCACTGAGGTCTCCCTTCTTCGGCAGTTTGACAAGGTAACCCTTCTTCCAATCACCAGGTACCTTCTCTTCCTTCCACACCTTCTGCAATAGTGGTGTGAGCATGTCCGCTGTTGTCTCTGCATCTGTTCTCAGTGCTTCTGGCGGTATTCCATCTGGTCCTGCTGCTTTCCCACCTTTCAGTAGCTTTATGGCGTTCAGGACTTCCATTTTCGTTGGGGGATTTATGTTCACTTGTAATTCAGCGGCTGCAGGTGGTATTTCTGGACGAGTTGCAGGTGGTGGTCGATTCAAGAGCTTCTTGAAGTGGTCGGCCCATCGTTTCCTCTGTTTCTCTTCTTCTGTAATTAAATTTCCTTCTTCATCTTTCATTGGTTTCATCTGTGTTGGTCTCTTCCCTGATAGCAACCTGGTTATTTGATACAA